GTGGTTAAAGCGCCTGGCTGGTAACCGAAAGGTCAGCACTTTGAACCCACCAGCTGCTCCTTGGGAGAAAGATGTAGCAGTCTGCTTCTGTAAAGATTTACAGCCTTGAAAACCCTATGGAGTTCTACTCTGTCCTGCAGGGTTGCTATGAGCCAGAATCAACTCAGTGGCAGTGGGTTTAGTTTAGGTTTTTTGGGGTATAAATGTGCCGATTGACTGAAAAATCCTAATAATGCCATTTACTTACAGGAGGCAAAGGCATGGGGGGCTGGGAAGGGGGCATCCGCGTCCCCGGAATCTTCCGGTGGCCTGGGGTGCTGCCCGCCGGCCGGGTGATCGATGAGCCCACCAGTCTGATGGATGTTTTCCCCACGGTGGTCCAGCTGGGAGGCGGCCAGGTGCCCCAAGACAGGTACGTGGGGGATGGGACCACCCGCTCCCTGCTTTCTGAGAGCTGATGTTGCAAGTTTTCATATTTAGGGGGAAAAAATGCAACCACATGAGAACCTCTAAAAGCTTCTCACTTCTTCCAATATGGAGAACAGCCTAATTTAAAATAACGATAGCCAATCAGTCGCCATCGATCTACTCCGACTCATGGCGCCCTGGTGTGTGTCAGAGTAGAACTGTGCTCCACAGGGTTTTCAGTGGCTGATTTTTGGAAGGAGATGGCGAGGCCTTTCTTCAGAGGCACTTCTATGTGGACTCGAACCTCCAACCTTTCAGTGAGCAGCTGAGAGCATTAACTGTTTGCACTTCCCAGGGACTCTGCTTCATCATCAGCTGTTTATACGAAAGGGCTTCAGATCAGCCACCCATCCTGGCTTCCCGGCCTGGCCCCTTTACACGTGACTGTGTTAGACTTGATCGTGATTGAAAAGGCAGCGCGGTCAAGATAGGGGAGTGTGCAGTCCAGCCGTAATTTCGGAACGCGCTATGTTAACACCCAGGGGTCCCTGGATGGTACAAATGGTGTATGCACGACTGCTAAGGAAAAGTTGGTGGTTCGAAGCCAGGAGAAAAGACCTGGTGATCTGCTCCCGCCAAGATGACAGCCTAGGAAACCTATGGGGCGGTTCCACTCTGTCACACGGGGTGCTATGAGCCAGAGTTGACTCAATGGTAGCGGGTTCGGTTTGGTTTTTGGTTCCTGTCCAGGGTTAGTACGGGACCCTCACAGCCCTTGGCATTTTATTCCGAGTTGTGAACAGCAGACCTAGAGGCCTTAGTGTGACCTTTCCTGGTCTCTCCCACATCAGGGTGATCGACGGCCGCAGCCTGCTGCCCTTGCTCCGAGGGTCTGTCCAGCATTCGGCCCATGAGTTCCTGTTTCATTACTGTGGGCAGCACCTCCATGCCGTGCGGTGGCACGAGAGAGACAGTGAGTATGCACCTCTCCCTGCCACGGTCAGAGTGGATCCACTCCGTCCAAGGGCAGAGCTGAGAAGGGTCATTCCCATAGTGCAAAGTGGGAGGGGCCGGGCACTGGGCCACTGCCTCAGTCAGGGTTCTCCAGGGAAACGCAGTCATACGTATGTGATTATAGGACGTTGAGTTCACCTCGTGTTCTCAAGGTGGCTGCTGCAGCTCCGGGCACCACACAGATATTCCAGGTAGCAGTAGCAGGAAGTGTGTGCACATATATACGTGTGTATTTGTGTATAAACATGTTTACGTATATGTGTGCTTGTATATAAATACATATATGTGGGCGTGTATATATATGTGAGTATGTGTAGATATGTGCATGTATATATACATATATCCAAAACCCATTGCCATCGAGTCGATTCCAAATCATAGTGACCTTATACAGTAGATACACACACACATGTATATGTGTGTGTATCTGTAGAGTCGTTATAATTCAAATCAACTCGACGGCAACGGGTTTGGATTTTGGTTTGGGGTATGGATACATGTGTGCGCGTGCGTGTGTGCGTATAAACATATACGTGTATAAGTATGTGTATATACTGGGGCCCTGGTGGCACAGTGGTTAAGCATTTGGCTGCTAACCAAAAGGTTGGCAGTTTGAATCCACCAGACACTCTTTGGAAACCCTGTGGGGCGGTTTTACTATGTCCTATAGGTTCGCTATGAGTCGGAATTGACTCAATGGCAAAGAGTTTGTTTGTTTTTTTTGTGTGTATATATACTAAAAACCAACCCCGTTGCCATCCAGTCGATTCTGACTCATAGTGACCTTACAGGACAGAGTAGAACCACCCCATAGGGTTTCCAAGGAGTGGCTGGTGGATTCGAATGGCTGACCTTTGGTTAGTGGCTGAAGTCTTAAACCACTGCGGCACCAGGGTTCCTGTGTATATAGATAGATACATACATACATATATATGTGTGTGTGTGTGTATTTTGTTGTTGTTGGGTGCCACTGAGTCAACACCCAACTCATGGCGACCCCACACACAGAGGAACAGAACGCTGCCCGGTCCTGCACCACTGCCATGATCAGTTGCGGATCGGACTGTTGTGATCCATAGGGTGTTCGTTGGCTGAATTTTGGAAGTAGATCGCCAGGCCTTTCTTCCTAGTCCCTCTTAGTCTGGAAGCTCCACTGAAACCTGCTCAGCATCACAGCAACATGCAAGCCCCCACTGACAGACAGGTGGTGGCTGTGGAGGAGGTGCATTGGCCGGGAATCAAACCCGGGTCTCCTGCACAGAAGGTGACGGTTCTGCTGATGAGCCACTGCTGCTGCGCATACACACACACGCACGCAAGCACGCACGCACACACGAGGGAGGTTCTTTTAAGGAACTGGGGGGGCCAACAAGCCTGCAATCCGCAGGGCAGGCAACAGGCTGAAAACTCAGCAGCAGCTGATGTTACAGTCTTGAGGCAGAATTCCTTCTTCCCCAGAAACCTCCACTTTTGCTCTTAAGCCCTTCAACTAATTATTGAGGGTGCTCTGGTTTCCTTAAAGCCAGATGATTATAGATTTTAACACCATCTACAAATACCTTCCCAGCAACACCTGGATGAGGATTGGATTTGAACACTTGGCCTAGCCAAGCTGTCACATAAAACTTACCACCAGAAAATGGCATCTGGGGTCTTAAAAGCTTGCAAGTGGCCATCTAAGATGCATCAGTTGGTCCCATCCCACCTGGAGTAAAGGAGAATGAAGAACACCAAAGACTCAAGGAAAGTATCAGCCCAAGAGACAGAAAGGGCCACATAAACCAGAGACTCCATCAGCCTGAGACCAGAAGAACTAGATGGTGCCCGGCTACCACCAATCATCGCCCTGACAGGGAACACAACAGAGAGTCCCTGATGGAGCGGGAGAAAGGTGGGGTGCAGAACTCAAATTCTAGTAAGAAGACCAGACTTAATGGTCTGATTGAGACTGGAGGCACCCCGGAAAGCATGGCCTCTGGACTCTCTATCAGCCCAGAACTAAAACAATTTCCAAGGCCAACTCTTCAGACAGGAATTGGACTGGACTGTGGGACATAAAGCGATACTCGTGAAGAATGTGCCTCTTAGTCAAGTAGATACAAGAGACCAAAGGGGCAGCTTCTGTCCAGAGGTGAGATGGGAAGGCAGAGAGGGTCAGGAACTGGTTGAATGGACACAGGAAATCAGACGTGGAAAGGAGGAGTGTGCTGTCACAGTATAGGGAGAGCAATTAGGGTCACATAACAATGTATGTGTAAATTTTCGTATGAGAAACTAACTTGAATTGTAAACTTTCACTTACAACACAACAATTAAGAAACAGTCCTCACCACTGCAGCCACAAACCCAGGGGAAGTGATACTCGGGCCCATGCTGCATGGTCCCTCTCTTGGGCTTTTATCATCTCCGTCAGTTACCAAGACAAAGGCGAAGACTTTGAGGACAGAGCAAACCCTTTGCCCCTAATGCTGTTGAAAATATTCTGTTTATTTCGGTTTATACAAGGAGTACATTGAACAGTTTTAAAGTTGGGGGTTGGGGGGGAATTGTCACCTCCATGCAGGAGACCCGGGTTCCATTCCCGGCCAGCACAGGTCCTACGCAGTCACCACCCATCTGTCAGGGGAGGCTTGCGTTTCCCTATGAGCCCTGGTGGTGAAGTGGTTAGGCATTTGGCTGCTAACCGAAAGGTCGATGGTTCAAATCCACCCAGCAGCTCTGTGGGAGAGAGATCTGGCAATCTATTCTTGTAAAGATTACACCGTAGGAAACCCTGTGAGGCAGTTCTTCTCCGTCACATGGCTCCATGACTTGGAATGACTCAACAGCACCTAACAACACACCATGATGCTGGATAGGTTTCAGTGGAGCTTCCAGACTAAGAGACTAGGAACAAAGGCCTGGTGATCTACTTCTGAAAATCAGTAATGGGGAAAAAAAAACCCTATGGATCACAATGGTTGGATCTGCATCTGAGCACGAGGATGGCTCAGGACTGGGCAGCGTTTCGTTCCGTCACGTGTGGAGTCTTAGTGAGTTGGGGCCGACTCTATTGCAGCTAAGAACAACAACAAAAGCACCTGGGGTTCCGATACCCAAAGGTGACACAGCGAACACTTTAGGGTGAGTCCCTGCACCTCTTGGTGCTTCCAGCACCCCCCAGAGACGCAGGTGCGCACACTTACACCCCCACTGATTTGCAAAACCCATACTGTGACTGTGGGAACTACCCGGTCTGCTTCCCTTTTGTCTTCCCAGTAAACATTCCCTCCGCCGATGGCCCCATCATGTGAATCTGCTCCAGGTCACTGCAGCACCCCACAGCTCCAAGATATGCTCCCCGTTTGCTCAGCTTTTGAACCCCACCCTGTTTGGGGGGCCTTCCTCCTGAGAGAGGGACCCTACCCCTGTAGAAAAGGAACTTGGCAAAGGCCCACTCTCCCACCTCCCCGACAGCTAGAGAGGGGAGGGGGCTGTGGTGGGTTAGAGTGGTTTCCCCTAAAAAGGTATGTCCATGTCGTAAACTCCACATTATGGATTGAATTGTGCCCCCCCTCCACACACACCAAAATATGTGTTGTATTTTCTAACCCACATACCTGTAGTGTTACCGAACCCCAGAAGGTGGGTCCTCGTCCGGCATGCTCAGACCTGCCAATAATTTGGACTCCGGTCTTTGAGAAAGAGAGAGTAACTTTATTGCAATGTGCGGAGCAAAGAGCCAGGAGGAAGGCCCTCAGATCCGACTCCCCAGCTACGGGGAAGCAGGGCTTCTGTGTGATTTGGGCAGCAAGATGGCGGCCGCGCAGGCGTACTGGGGAGGGACAATTCTAGACAGAGGCCAGGAAACAGGAGGTGACGTGGTTCTTCTTGGACCGCTTGCTTCAGAATAGGGTCTGGGTGCTGATTTTCCATCTGATTCATTCCACCTGTTGCTGCATCCGCTGCTGAGGTCAATTAACAGTCACAGCTGGCCCTTTTGTGCATGCAGGGCAGGTCAGATCTGGCTTGGGCTGGTTTAAGGACTAATGGAAATTTACTGGTATTTGTAGGGTCAGATTGCAGTAGTTAGGAGCCCTGGCAGTGGTTAAGCCCTCGGCTGCTAACCAAAAGGTTGACGCTTTGAACCCACGAGCCATTTGGCAGGACAAAGACCTGGCGATCTGCTCCTGTAAACATTACAGCCTTGGAAACCCTATGGGGCAGTTCTACTGTCCCACGGGAGCACTAGGAGTCGGAATTAACTCGACACCCACGTGTTTGGTTTTGCTTTTGGTTTTTTATATCTATAGTTATAATCCGGAGCCCTGGTGGCACAGTGGTTAAGAGCTACAAACCAAAAGGACAGCAGTTCAAATCCACCAGCGACTCCTTGGAAACCCTACGGGGCCGTTCTACTCTGTGCTATAGGGTCGCTATGAGTTGGAATTGACTCAACGGCAACACGGAGAGTTTGGCTGCTAACCAGAAGGTCGGTAGTTCAAATCCACCAGCGACTCCTTGGAAACCCTACGGGGCCGTTCTACTCTGTGCTATGGGGTCGCTATGAGTTGGAATTGACTCAACGGCAACACGGAGAGTTTGGCTGCTAACCAGAAGGTCGGTAGTTCAAATCCACCAGCGACTCCTTGGAAACCCTACGGGGCCGTTCTACTCTGTGCTATGGGGTCGCTATGAGTTGGAACTGGCAAGATGGCAACAAGTTTGGTTGGTTTAGTTGTGATCCCATTTGGGAATGGGTTTGCTTTGTTATGTTAATGAGGCACTATTAGTACAGGGTGTGTCTTACATCAATCTCAGTTGAGATATGAGAGAGCAGCTCAAGCAAGCGCAAATGGAGGGGAAGACACACGCCACATGGTGACCCAGGAACCAAGGAACACAAGCTGAAAGAGACAAGGACCTTCCCCCAGAGCAGACAGAGAGAGCTGGCAGCCTAGGCTCCTGAACTGTGAAAAAAAAAGAAAAAGTCCGTTCCGTAAAGCCACCCCCTTGTGGTTTTGCTGTTAAACAGCAGCGCTAGATAACTGAGACACCTTGAAACCTGTGAATGTGGCCTTTGCATAAAGGGTCTTTGCAAACCTGATGAAGTGGATTTCTGCACCTCTGACCACCTTCTTGTTCCCACGCAGGTGGAAGAATCTGGAAGGTCCACTATGTGACTCCCCAGTTCCACCCTGAGGGTGCCGGGGCGTGCTACGGCAGAGGGGTGTGCCCGTGCTCTGGAGCAGATGTGACGCACCACAGCCCGCCCCTGCTCTTCGACCTCTCTAGGGACCCTTCCGAGTCGCGGCCCCTGACCGCCGACTCACAGCCCCTGCACGGCACCGTGATAGCCAGGGTAGGCGAGGCGGTGGAGGCGCACCGGCAGACCCTCAGCCCCGTGCCTCTGCAGTTCTCTGTGGGCAACATCATATGGAAGCCATGGCTGCAGCCGTGCTGTGGAACTTTCCCCTTCTGCTCCTGCCACGAGGACGGGGGTGGCACCCCCGAGGGGCCAGATTTGTGAGCGGGAACCCAGAGAATCACGAGCTGCCCTCCTGGCACCCCATGTGCGTCAGAGCAGGACCATGCGCCATGGGGTTTACAATCACTGGTTTTTCATAAGTAGATTGCCAGGCCTTTCTTCCGAGGCATGTGTGGGTGGACTCAAGCCTCCAACCTTTTAGTTAGCAGCTGAGGCATGTTCACTGTTTGCACCACCCGGGGCGCCATGTACAGATAAAGGGGCTTGGATTTCAATATATATGTTTGGGGTGGGGGCAAAATTCAGTCCATGACAGGGTAGATGTTTTACCTCCAAAAAAGTGTTAAGGGCCCTGAGCCTCCCATCGAAGCATTAAGACAGATAAGAGACCAAAGAACCAACCCCCGCCCCCTGCCCCGCCATCAATTCCATTCCGACCCATGGGAGACCTATGTTTCAGAGAACTGCCCCACAGGGTTGTCAATGGCGCCAATCTTTTTGGAAGCAGGTCGCCAGGCCTGAGGGGCTGCTCCACCCTCCATCCTGTGTCCGTCTCTACCCTCCATCTTGTCTCCACGTTCCATCTTGTCTCCACTCTCCACCTGTCTCCACTTTCCACCCTCCATCCTGTCTCCACCCTCCATCTTGTCTCCCTCCCACCATCCTGTCTCCACCTTCCATCCCGTCTCCACCTTCCATCCCGTCTCCACCCACCATCCCGTCTCCACCCACCATCCCGTCTCCACCCTCCATCTTGTCTCCACCCTCCATCCTGTCTCCACGCTCCAAACTGTCTTCACCCACCATCTTGTCTCCACCCTCCATCCCGTTTCCACCCATCATCTTGTCTCCACCCTCCATCCCGTCTCCACCCATCATCTTGTCTCCACCCTCCAACCCGTCTCCACCCATCATCTTGTCTCCACCCTCCATCTTGTCTCCACCCACCATCTTGTCTCCGTTCTCCATCCTGTGTCCTTCCTCCATCTTGTGTCCATCCTCCATCCTGTTTCCACCCTCCATCTTTTCTCCATCCTGTCTCCACCCTCCATGCTGTCTCCACCCTCCATCTTGTCTCCACCTCCCATCCCGTCTCCACCTCCCATCCCGTCTCCACCTCCCATCCCGTCTCCACCTCCCATCCCGTCTCCACCCTCCATCTTGTCTCCACCCCCCATCCCGTTTCCACCCATCATCTTGTCTCCGCCCTCCATCTTGTCTCCACCCACCATCTTGTATCCGCTCTCCGTCTTGTCTCCGCCCTCCATCTTGTCTCCACTCCCCCATCATGTCTCCACCCTCCATCTTGCGTCCACCTCCCCATCTTGGTTTATTGTGTTACCTTTTGTAATTATTCATGGACACAGCGATGGTTCAGTGACAGAATCCTCACCTCCATGTGGGAGACCTGTTTGATTCCTGGCCGATGCACCTCATGTACAGCCACCACTTGTCTGCTATGATACTGCACAGGTTTCAGCGGACCTTGCAGACTAACAGACTAGGAAGAAAGGTCTGGTGATCTACTTCTGAAAATCAGCCAATGAAAACCCTGTGGATCACAATGGTCCAGTCCACAACTGATCCTGGGGATGACTGAGGAGCAGGCAAGGTTTCATTCTTTTGTGTATGGAGTCCTCATGAGTTGGTGGCCAACTCCATGGCCACTAACAATAACAAGGAAGGGGCCATTCATTACCATGTGTTGGGGTGCTCAAAGACCTTCCAACCACCACCCCGCACGCCCTGGTCTCTCCTCCTGCTCCTCACGCCCACCCATGTACCTCCTGAAGGGTTCCCTATGGATTGAGCCAGAGAGAATCCCAGCCAAGGGGTGTAGAGTCTAGAATTTAGGGGGCAGAGGTGAGAAGGGTTGGGCAAGACCTGGACGGGCCAACAGAAAATCCAGCCCAGCCTCAAACAACAAAATAGAAAGCTGTCCAGGAGTGTGAGGGAGGAGCGAGGGAAAAGCCGTCCAATCTTTCTCTTGATTTCCAGTGGCGTTGGGCAAATCCATGGAACAAACCATTGACCCCAGTAGTTCAAACAGGTCAAAGACTAAGAATTTTCCGACGCTCAACGGACACTGCTGTGAACTTTGGTTTCTTGAAGCCCCATGAAAAATAGGATTAAAAAATATATGATTCGGTTCGTTGCGACTCATAGAAGGGGTCCCGATGGGCTTTGCCGGAGCTGTGGGGCTTTTTCCTCACCCCTGACTTTCTCTCAGAAGTGAATGAGAAGAATTGGAATCCACGTCACCCGAGCCCCTGGTGGGTGCTGGTGAACGCAGTTACCTTCCCTCTGTCAACAGGCCCCCACCCGCGTTCCATGGTCCGTTCTGCACATAGTTTCTGCTGCGGCATTCTGGGGAAATAAGGACATTCTTAAGCTGATCACTGAAGAGAATTCCTGAATAAAATCTGACCGTTTCTACTGTCCATTTTATTTGTGTTTGTGTGCAAACGGCCACACGCTCGACCACTAGCCGAAAGGCTGGCAGCTTGAGCCCACCCAGAGGCACCTTGGAAGAAAGGCCTGGCGATCTTCTGAGAAATCAGCCATTGAAAACCCTATGGAGCAGTTCTACTCCGACACACATGGGGGCGCCATGAGTCAAATCGACTTGATGGCAACTAACAACCATTCGCCAATCCCTGGTCCTCCTTCCCCGCCAGCCCCAATCCTGTAAAACAAGCGCTGGCATACCTGGCTTCAGGGATCATGGAGATAAAACTAAAATCCCTCCCCCCTTTTTGGAAAACCTAAACAAGGGAACAGGCTCAAGTGCTGACAGGGCTATGTGGATGAGTAATGGGGACCCTGGCTGGTACAAACAGGTAACGTGCTCAGCTGCTAACCCAAAGGCTGGAGGTTCCAGCCCACCCAGAGGCACCTCGGAAGAAAGGCCTGGCGATCTTCTGAAAAATCAGCCGTTGAAAACCCTATGGAGCAGTTCTACTCTGACATACATGGGGTCACCATGAGTCAGAGTCAGCTCAAGGCAATGGGTTTGTAATCCCAGGGTGGTGCAGATGTTTAAGTGCTCAGCTGGTAACCAAAAGGCTAGAGGTTCGAGTCCACCCAGAGGCACCTCTGAAGAAAGGCCTGGTGATCTGTTTCCAAAAACTCAGCCACTGAAAACTCTATAGAGCACAGTTCTACTCTGACGCACATGGGGCACCATGAGTTGGAGTCGACTCGACAGCCACTGGTTTGGGTTTTGTTTTGGGGATGCCCAGCTCGCCTCACACCCAGAGTACATGCGCAAAAGGAAAAAAAAGGGGGTTTTCAGAACAAATGAACAACAAACCCTGTCTCTGTCTCTCTCTCTCTGTCTGTTTCTCGCTTGCTCGTTCTCTTTCATACTCTGTCTCTGTCTGTCTCTCCCATCGTTCTTCTCTCTCTTTCATCCTGTCTGTCTCCCATCGTTTGTCTGTCTCTCACTCTTCTCTTTCATGCTCTGTCTGTCCCTCTGTCTGTCGCTGTCTCTCTCCCATCCTCTTTCTCTCCCTCTTTCTATCTCATACTCACTCTCTGTCTCCCTTTATGTCTCTTTGTCTCGCTCTATCTCCATCTCTCTGACTCTCCATCTCCCCCTTCTCTGTGCCTGTCCTCTGCCTCCCTCCTCTCTGTCCCCCTCCCTCTCTCCCCTCACACTCGCTGTACCCCACGCTTCCTCTAGAAATGAAGCTCTGCAGTACCTGTTGCTCTCTCCCTCTTTCTCTCTCTCCCCGTCTCTCTCTCCATTTCTCTCTCCCTCTCTGTCTCCTCTCTACCCCCCTCGCTGTACCACATGCTTCCTCCAGAAATGAAGCTCTGCAGTTGCCTCTGCTCTGTGGAGTCTGGAGACTGATTTCAAACATCCAAACTGGGGACATCTTTGCAGAGGGGACACTTTAGTCAACTGTTGTTGTTAGGTGCTGTCGAGTCGGTTCCAACTCATAGCCACCCTATGTACAACAGAACACCAACAGGGAGTCTGGCAGCAACGCAGGCTGTCTTTATAGAGTCCCGAAAGGCAGTTTTACATCAGAACTTATATATCACTGTTGCAAGGGGTATGCAGTGTCTCTCGGCACATAGCCCACAGATGTCATGGCCTGATGAGTTGTTCATTACGAGATAATTACAAGAGACTCTTTATCAGAGTCAAGAGATACATGATGGACATCTTCTTATCAGGATAAAGATATATATGCTGGACAGCTGGGCTCTAATCTTCATGTAGGCGGTCAGGTTGTAAGTCACAGGTGGCCAGACAGAACAAAGTCCTTAGCAAAAGTACACGGAAAGGAGAAGGCGGGCAGAAAAAACACTCACAGGTTCATCAAGGCGTAAGTTATGTCAAGCTCTCAATCACCCATTTTGAAAAGGAGAAAACATGTTGCAGAGTATGAGGTCACACACCTCATACCACCAAGAAAGAAGAGCCAGGAGTGGAGCACGTCCTTTGGACCCAGGGTCCCTGCGCTGAGAAGCTCCCAGACCAGGGGAAGACTGATGATAAGGACCTTCTTCCAAAGCCGACAGAGAGAGAAAGCCTTCCCATGGAGCTGGCACCCTGAATTTGGACTTCCAGCCTCCTAGACTGTGAGAGAATACATTTCTGTTTGTTAAAGCCATCCACTTGTGTATTTCTGTTAGAGCAGCACTAGATAATGAAAACAATGATGTTAATGAGGCAGGATCACAGACAAGTATGTTTATGAGGCGGAACACAATCTACAGGATTGGGTTGTATCTTGAGTCAATGTCTTAGCACTAGGTAACTAAGACGCTGCCTCTAAGATATAGGAACTGTTTTATAACCGAGGTCTCATGACCGTAAAAGAGAAGACAGCATCTCTTAAGGGACTGAAGCAATCAGATGCCTTTCCTTCTAGTTGGACTTTACCAAGAGTCGGTTTACATTTGTTGTAGGGAAAAAACATCACAAAGTTTAGGAAAGCAAAAAGAAAGTTTTATGTGGCGTATATTCAAAAACGCAAAAGTGGGAAACAGACAAGCAGGCTGCCACAGCCATGTCTGCCCGAGTCTGAGGAACATTACAGAATCATCAGTATATATT